GGGTCTAGGCCCGAAACGTCAGCCTTCCTGCTCCTCTGATGCTGCTTGGCCTGCTGTGTTCATCCAGCTCTACACCTTGTTATCTCAGCCTAATATCTGTGCTTGGGAAAATACAAGAGTCCATCATTAAGGTAGAAACAACAGGACATTTTGAAAAGCTTAACGTAATTAAAAAGAATCAACGTGCTTTTGTGAAAGGGAAATCATGTTTGACAAAGTTACTAGAATTCTTTAAGTATGTAACAAGTAGACTTGATACAGGGGAAGTAGTAGATACTGTGTAATGGCATATCCAGAATGCATTCTATAAGATTATTCTACAAGATAGAATCTCATGGTATTGGGGTAATGAATTGGCATGATTTGAAGATTGATTAAGACAAAGGATTAATGGTTCCTTTTCACATTGGAAAGATGTAATTAGTGGACTGTCACAAGGATCAATCCTACGGTCTCAATTAATTCTTCCCCTCCCAGTGGGCAATGTTGCATCTGGCCAAGGCCCCTTACAGCATGAATGCTATTCGATTTTCCATTCCTGCGTTTTTTGAGTGACTGCTTCTTGCCACAGGAGTTCGGAGGCATTCGATATTGTAGGATTGTTTTCAAGTCTGACAAGATCCCTTTCCATGCAGATTAGTAATCTTGATCTCTTAATCTGTCCCAAGAAACGTAAATATGTGCATGCCTATCTGGCTTATCTCATCAGTTCCCAACCTATATTCAATTGCCCCCTGTGACTGTGACCACTCCCTAAGCTGCCAAATACTATCTGGACCATCCCCAGACTGCCTCAGCACTAAGGACTGACCCTTAAAACCTACCACATTATGAGATCCACCCCCTGACTGACTGTGGCCAATCCCCTGGGCAGACTTTGCAGGATAACCCTGACTGAGTGCAGTACTGTGTGACCACCAAGGCCATGTCTGGGAGCGTGGCTTTGTGTTGGATCAGCTGTCAGACTGACTGGGACCAGCTCCCTGGATGGGACGTGTCCCAGCCCATGGACTAATGATGTTACCTACTGACCCACTCAAGGCCAGTCTTGGGCCACAGTGCATTCCTCCCCTTTTCCCTTTCACACAGCGCTGTGCTCTTCAATCACATGCACTTTATTTATCATGGAAGCTGCTGGCACATACACCACCTCTGATGCTTATCTCTTATAGTAGAACATGTATCTGCACCTTTCATATTGATTGTTTATTGTTCCATCCAGCCACATGCTTCTGTCTTTCCTTCAGTACTGAAGCTTTCCTTTCAGCAGCTGCCTACCTTGCCTTCTGCACAAAATTGTCATCCATGAAGCTGCATGACCTCTATAAGAGGAAAGTTACTGCCTGACAGTGTCCACTCAAGTTGCTGTTGAGAAGCTCGTTGTCATTGCCCAATTGAATGGAGTGATGATCCAGG